ATACATATTTCAGAAAGAAGCATTTCACATTTGTTTACCGAATGTATTTCTTTTTTATCCATAGAATAATTCGAAATTTAGAATCACCGTTGAAAAGTCCTGTTCGTACACCAGTGACAGAAAACGATCCGTTAGGTGCATTAATAAACGACGAAACGCCGATTGTCTCACCCTCGGAGGAGAATGACTCAAACTGTTCAACAAATACTTTGACTGTTTTTAACAATGTCGAGGAACGACCAGGAGGACCGCTTTTATTTCGAAGGTACATTTGTTTTTATAATTAATAAGCAACACTTATCTTTATATAATTAAGATCGCATGGAAGTTACCGAAGGAACCACATACTACATACGCATATAGTGTTATTATACCTGTTTCTACATTCTTATTATAACTTCTTCCAGCGCTATCTTGCCTCGTAGTGCAACATTTCATCAAACAGTAGATGAAAGTGGTGTAGCAATAGGTGGTCATTTGCAAAGGAGTGAAACAATGCCACATTCTGTTGCGCAGCAAGGCGAGCAAGATAAAGAAAGAGAAAGGCAAGAAATAAGCAGCCTTTGGTCTCAAAAGGACAGCGTTACCTCGAGTCTTTCGAGTCTAGGTTCCAGTTTGAAGCTCAGCTTTGGGTAAGACAAACGTTACTACCAGAAAAACCGCAAAATGTATATTAACAGTTATAATTAAAAGGATTCTATTCTAGTATTTCATTCCGTACGTATACCGTCGAGTTCTCTTAGTTTCTCAATATAAAATCTATTCTAGTTTAATCAATCTTTACTGAGCATAAGATTTAACGATAATAAATCTCAATATTCAAAATAGCGGTCTGCTGAATATTTTTTGTACAAACACAATTTCCCAACGTTAATATAATAGTTTACTAGTAAAATGACTCTTAAACGATAGATTGAAATGTACCAAAAATTAAGCAAAGTGGTCATTTAGGGCTTATCTTACACTAAAAACAACAAAGTGTAATACAGTAAGCTCAGTTTTGCTACCTATCTATTTAGGTCTACGAAATGTACAAATCGTACAGAAGTATATTAAAATTTTTAATCTTTATGACAAATAGGGATATTCCAAATTAATAATTTAAGATGTGTCAATTCTTTATAAGAATTCTATTTAACATTTGAAACTATAATTTTTGTAATATAATCGTCAGAAATTTCACGATTCACCTTTCAGTGTGCATTGCTTAAACGCCAACAAGGGACATCGCTTAAGTGTTACACGCCGATTTTAATGAAATTTTTGCATAATGTAGTACTAAAGTAAACATTTGACATACATTTCTTTTTTATCAGAAATCGTTCACGTTTAGGGGGTAAAAATGACCCTTAAAATAGCGGTGAAAAACATATTTCGTTCAATTATCTGAAAAATAATGCGGTGTAAAGAAATAGTTTAAACAGCAAAGTTGTATGTTTTGGAACAAAGAATTATACACGGTTCGATTTCTGTGCAAATTTGCAAATATGAGCTACAAATAAATGCGAAAAATACGGATAAATTACAACTTTTTATTTCAATCTATTTAGAAAAATTAAAACTTTATAGTCAATCTGTTATTTTGCTCGAGACGTATTACCATTACCGTTTCAAAATTTTCTAATATTCGGGGAATTACACTTGTGTTCGAGCGAACCCTCGTATGGTGAAATTTTTCCTTCGAGGTAAACCAAAAAAAAAAAGTTTGCAACGCCATTCCTTTCATTGCCGATAAAAAAATTACGTGTCGAATATTTTTTCGAGTAACTGCTTCATACATAAATTTTCTTCAAATTGACGCATGTGACACTCAAGTGTTACTTCTTGCAAGTGCACGACTTTACGTAAACATACTTATACAAGAAACACGTGCACATCGTATCTATATACCTTTAAATCATTCTCTATGAATTTTTCTTCTGTTATTTAAAAATCTCTACGTTACACTATATCTATAGTTTTTTGCTACCGTCGTTTACATTAATTCTAATGTAACGTGGTATAACATACTTTTTTTCATTTGGTGTATATTTATTCTAAGAATCGAGTTTATAAATCAAAATTATACAGGAGTTCGAATACACTGCTAGTCGAAAGAATTACAACACCTAAAAATTGGGATTGCACAAATCGGGGGAAATCACGTATGTTTTGTTGGGCTACTTACTCCGAGGAGAAGATGACCTTTTTTAAAGCAAATTTTAATTATTTCTCCCCTTTTAACACTTCAAACGATATATGTAAATTTCAGATTTGTGCGATTTCATTTTTAACCCTTTGAACTCCAAATTTCTTTTTTTAATTTCCTTTTCAATAACTCCCTGTTATTTAAAGAATTTTATTTGAATAATAATTATATTGAAAATAGCATTAAGGGTTATATATATGTGTACCTATTGCTGATCCAGGTAAAAAAAATATTGCAAAATATAATACATATTTAAACTGGAAATTTAAAAATTACTTCGTTCATACCTGTGAATAAAACTGATGTAACACTCGACAAAGGAGTCCAAAGGGTTAAGGTGTTGCAATTATTTTTCTTTTTTTTTTTTTTGGCGAGCAGTCTATTTTTGTGTCCAACTGTATGGAAGCTGTAAGAGGATTATTTGCACGTGTCTGACTTGTGAGCGTGCGAACGTGAGTTTGTGTGTTCAGTTTTGTTAATTGTATTATATGATATCTAGTAGATTTTGTAGTACAATGATTGGTAAAAATATATGCTAACCTTTTTGATTTAAGCGAAATTGGCTGCAACGTTGCTTAAATATGATGAGCGTAGAACACTCAGAAGCTAAACGCTTACTATGAACTGTGTTCGACATCTGATAACTATTATGTACTATGAACGCAATATTATTATTCGCGCATTACGTACTTTACGAGGCATTATTAATTTACATTATGCAAACCTACGCTACTTTTGTCGAGAAATTAAGATAGACAAAATGTTTTTATTTTTTTCAAGCACATTTGTAATCTATACCAATAACATTTTCTATATTATTTGTTATTTTCGTCTTACTTTGTCGTACGGAATGATTTATTAAAATTTCTCTCATCTGTTACAAAACACTCTGTAGGTGTCTATAGCACTCTCGTAAGTTCGAAAGACAAGACTTTACAAGTATGTTGGAGGTACACGTACAGGGTGTAAAATAATTAATGGTCACGGCTTCAGGGGGTGAATCTAAACCCTTGGATCGGTGGACATTTGTAAAAAAAAGTTTCCGCAAAATTGTTTATAACATTGAAAATTAATGTTAAATTTTTTTTTTACATCAACGTATTCTGCTCGACGAGAAGAGAAAAAGTCTGAAAGGAGCCATATGCCGTAAACAAATAGTTTCCGAGATAAACGTTGATAAAGTTTGGTAACGATTTGATTGTGTAGAGCTATACGTGTAGGACCTACTGACCTACTAACCTACTAGCCCTCTGCCATTTGATAGTATCTAGCCGTGCGTGCTCCTACACAAACACCACGTGTTACAGTTTTGTTGGCTTATAGATCTTGATCATTTGAATTTTTCTTGCCGTATTTTTACTGCTCATAATATATAGTGAATTATTTAAAATGTATTAAAAATATTTGCCCAAAGGAATCAAGGCGGTAATTGGAGCAAAAATGTGGCGCTACCAAATATTAACTTCATTGTTACTTCTTAACGGTATTTCTTATAACTACATAAGCTAAGTTTAAGCTTTTTTGTGTATCTTTAGTGGACAATTGTTTATTAAAAATTATCCAGCGTAGAAACCTCGATACTGTGATTTTATTTCTACACAAACATAAGAAACATATTTTTCGTACTGTGGCTCTAATAATTTCAGATCATCCACTGTAATTCTCGAGATATAATGTTGGATTGATTACACGCAGAACACCCTGACGAGTATATTTCTTCATAAATATTACGAACAAATTGTACAAAATCTGCTAAACCTATAGAAGAAGCTCTAACATGCTAACTTTTCGTGAGAAAAGAATTTGAAAAAATGTTCAGTATCTTGCAATTTGAAAATATATTTTCAAGATATGAGCATTGATATAATATTAAGGTTCAATTTCCTGTATGTGTGTATGTGTGTGTGTAATCTGAGCGTGAAAAAGATTAGCGTACAACTTTTTGCGTACATGAATCAAATTACAAAATCCATTCTACGAAGAAGTGAAGTCAGAGCAGCAAACGAATTAAATAATATCTGTTTCAGTCCTACTAGTTTAACGGGGAAAAAGTCCAATGAAATAATACTCGGTGGTTTAAATAGCTTAAAGTCTGCCGCTACGACGGTGGTGAAGAAGTTCGACGAAATAAAAGAAGCTATTTCCGCAACAAGTACTCCAGTGAAATTGAAGGAGCGCGAATATAAAATAACACACGGAGCATCTCACGAATCGCTGGATTCCATGACAGACGGTTCTTTACAAGACAGAAATGAACCTCTTAAACAAACTGGTTTGTAAGATTAAGCTCCTTATCTCGTCGGTAACAGGAAATACATGAATTTCCATCCCTGAGTTACCGACTACTTGCTAGCTTTTCAATGTACTTCATTTTCTTTGTTATACAGTGTGAGAAGGAAATAGGTGGCCAAACTTTGGTATCGTATTCTACTGTTCCTAAGGATGAGAAAAGATCATACAAGCGGCGTAGGTCTGAAAAATCTTCCTTTCTGAGATATAAGGTATAAGGTGGAAAAATGATTAGTTATCGACATATTTTGAACGCTTCTCCGTTACAATGTACACATTTCATACAACGTTTCTCAGTTATTTTCATTATTAAGTTAAGGTAATCTCTGGTTATCTCTACGTACCTTAATATCTTAGCCACCTCGATTTAAGTCCCTTGGACTTAAAAATATCTCGATAACTAATCATTTTTCCACCATTATACCTCAATACTCTTTAACGTAGAATGACGAGAGGAACCTATCTGTGAAAAAAAGTATGCATTTGCATTTAAAAAGATAATGCAATTGTTGATTGCACATACACCATTGCATTTCGAAAAAAAACATGGTCCTACGGATGTAGTGCTCTTTGAACAATACACCTTCCTCCTTTGACATTTTTCTGTAACTGTACTGGCAGCGGAATTATAACATCTAACAGTTGCGTGGACCACCCTGTATACTTTTAGCAAAAGAAATGACGACAGTGTTTCAAAATCCTGTGAAATTTCGATGTAAACAAGAAATATTTATATCTCAGAAAGAAAGAGTTTTCGGACTTATATTTCTATGACTTTTTCTCATCCTTAGGAACAACAGAATACAGTATCAAAGTTTAGCCACCTATTTCCTTGTCACTCTGTGATAAATTATTAATCTAAATATGATACAAACAAAATGTAATTTAATTTCCATTATAATATTAACTATTAGTAATTTGTTATTCTTCATTTCGTAGTTATAATATAAATTGATCCTTGTTCTAAATCTAACAAGTGTCCAGTGATTTATGGGATGGAAGTGTTTATAATAATAAGACAGGAATTTTAAAACGATTCGCTGTTATATTGAAATAGGTGACGGAAATCTAGATCCTTATACATTATACGACTTGGCGGAATGTTTATATCCAAAAGGATCGAGAGAATTGGATGAACGAATCGCTATTGAACTCGTGCTATCCAGTGCGAGTAGATGTCATCATTGCGCCACCATACTTTATGACGAAGAAATAATGGCTGGTTGGCAACCAGAAGACTCAAATTTAAATACTGTTTGCCAGTACTGTGACAAAGCGACAGTACCTCTACTTACTATAACAATATTAGATTACAGGTATGCGAAGTTTGGAAATTTATCAAGTGTAAATTGTAGCATAGATTGTTTCTCTTTGAATGAAAATTTATGTATATTTTTTTTTTATATTTACACAGATGCGAGGAGAATGAGAAAAAAAGTGACCCGTTAATGGGAGCTTTAATGGAATTATTGGATAAGCCGAAAGAATTATTAGAACCTATCACGGTGCCATACTTGAATCCTCTAGTTCTAAGGAAAGAACTAGAAAGTGTTTTGAGTCAAGAAGGTGACGCGTGTCTTACTAAACATAAATTTATCGAGGAACATCCGATAGTGTATTGGAATCTGATATGGTATTTCGAAAGGAGTAATTTAACAAGTCACCTTCCTGACCTATGGTTAAACAATGATAAGAAGAAAGAACAAATAAATTATAATGCAGTTGGTGTGAAAACTATGTGGGATAATGAAAGACTTCACATGGATCGCTTGCCTATGTATCTCCAATGGAAGCTGAATATTACAGAGGACAAAACGTGAGTTAAAATCACTTCAATATGTAATATGTACATTGCATGGATATTGTCATTGTATATAGTACGTAGGGTGTACAGCATTTGATACAATGACTGTAATGAAAATGGAGTATACTATGTTGTCCACTTTTTTCTTTTCTTATGAAGAATAAAATATCTAATATCGCATATTTATGCGTCATACAGAAACATTTAAATGATATTATTTATTAAACTGCAATTGTTGCATATGTCTAGACAACACAAATAAAACAAATTTTGGTTTAAGTTATTTAAGTTAATATGACTATAAGTACAAGCAACAAATTTTTTGACAAATTCATCGATAGAGATTCATTCTATAACGATTGTTATAAATTTTTCAGGTTAATGCAGTCAGTAATTACGAACGTTCGTCGAAATGATTTAGCGGAACCTATAAAAAGAGTGGCCTTAGGAAGAAATAAAAATCAATCAACTAAACAACCTCTATTTTCTATATACCGGGATATTTTGTTTTTGGCATTTACAGTTTTGGGGAGAGGGAATATTGACCAAGGTATGTTATTTCTCATTGCATAAAGATAGAATATATTCTATTATTCTTCTCGTTCTTTTAACTCTTCAATACTTTATTTAGCTTTAGAGAACTATTTAATACAATATTTATTTTTCTGGTTTGAAATGAATCTTTGTTATTTGTTATTTTATTATATGAAATTTAACTTTTATATTTTTTTTTAAAGTTTTGCTTTTTCTTTAAGAGTTGAATTTACTAATATATTTAACTCAATCATTTTATTCTTAAGCTGTCTAATAAGTAATTATCATCCATTCTCATATTTAAATTAATTATTTGCATGTTGTAGGTGTCTTTGACAGAGAATACAGTTTATCTGTAGAAAGATTAACAGAAAAAGAAGAAAAGCTGTTGTGTAAAATTGATGCTCCGCCCTCAATGATGTCAGTGTTTTGCAGACATTACTTTAAACAACTAAGCGTGTAAAGTTAAAACTGAAGGTATTGAAAAATATGATGTAATATATTGTGAGAATGAATAGTGCGTTCGTAAGAAGTATCACAGATTTATCTGTTTAAGCCTGATTTTTGATGTGAAACAAAACATGTGAAATGTCAAAATTAGTAGTAAATTATACATTTTAGATAAGTATTTATAGTTATTATTTTCAAATGAAAATTGGTAAATAATATTATCTTGAGGATTTACACTTTTTTCGCGAGCAGAAATTGAATGTATAAAATTTCCCTGAAGCTGCAGGTGTCATATATTTAATTATGAAATAATGTATTCTTTTCATATTTAAAATATGCGATTACTTACGATTACTATCAATAATTTTTTATTTAGAAAATAGTTGCATATATACTTACTTTATTATTACAATGTGAATATTCATAATTGTATGTATGAAAGCGATAAGGAAAATTATTCAGTACCAAAGAACCTGACTTGATCTAAAAGCTATAAATTCAAATGCTTTAGTTAATATCACACAGTGGTGAAGAATACATATAATTTTCAATATACAAATTGTCTTGTTACATCTCAAATAACATTTTTATCAACAAAATATTGATCAAATAATTATGATTACGTTTTAAATTAAGTAACTTATTGCAAACTATTGAAATCCATTCAAGTCCGTTTTTATACTTTTGAGTGGAAAAGTTCAATACTGCATGATCAACAATTAAATCACTAACTTGTTCACAATGAAAAGTGCTATTTATAGTTATGACATTGATATTAATTTGTTGTTTATAGTACGGAAGTTGCAAAATAGTTAACAAGGTGTTGCATTCAAATTAAAAACTCTAAATATAATATAATGAGCATCATTTATAATTGAAAGAAAATATTTTAAATCGAATCTTTGTTGTAGAATCCTATACCTATTGCATAAAACTTTATTTTTACAAAATATTTAATGTGGTTTTAATAGCTTAAAAATTTTCAACTATTTTCATACATATATGGATAATTTATTAATTATTATGTAAAATTGTCAAATATTTGAATGGAAAGAATGTTTGATCAGGTTAAATCTAAGCAAAACATTATTGGCAATTGTGTATTATGATTAGAACGATATTTAATTGTTATTGCAAATATTTATAATGAAATATCTTGTTTTGCTAAACATGGCTTTTAAAAAATATTTTAATGCAAGAACATTTAATAGAACGTATTATGTACCTGATACCTATAAAATCACTTCTTCGCATAGGTTAGATTATACAATAGATTGATTCTTGAAAATCCTAAAAAATTATGCATACATAATTTAACATAACGATGCTATGCACTTTTCAATATGATGAACCTTGTACATTATAATACTGTGTATTCGTTCGTTATTAAATTATGAATGTAAAACATAAATAAAAGTCAGTCATGGTATTTTATATAAATGAGTTTTTTCATCAATGTAAGTATTATAATTAACCTTTGTTTTATTTCGACTAGAAAAAGCGAACAATGTTTTGAAATAATATACTCTTGTACAAGTACATATACAAAAGGCTAGGTAATAGTTCTTATACAATAGAGAAATTAAGCAACTTTTTTAAAATTAATATAACCTTTTTTTCGATGTTGTTCATCGTTAAGGTAAGTGCAATAGGGGTTTGTACATGACTTACAGCCTCTCAAAACTACACCGCCTTGTAATTGTACACCGCATTATATATAATTTTTATTTTATAACCTTACTACGTATTTCAATTATTTTCGAATTTGGAACAAACATGTATGCCTGTAGGATTGTGTTAACGTTCGCATGTGTGTATGAAAAGATATTTTGAATAAATTAATTTCTATACATAACACGTTTAGGAAGAATTTTATTAGACAGCGCATGACAACAACATTTCTTTATCTCTTTCGCATGGATTTGCTAAAGCTCCCAAACAAGATGACTTTCACATCCAGATTCACGCCCTTTAATTTCAACCTGGCCCACTCCGCATCCAACTGCAATTCAATTTGTCGCTATTGTTCCTGTAATTGATTTGAAATGTTTCAGCTTGTATGTGAGAAACATCTTCAACATTCAAATAAACCACCAGTAAAGAAAATTTTGCTGGACTAATTCTTTCCTCACCATCCATTATTTACAACAACCATCTTACAACGTTAATTTTAATGGATCTACAAGGAATTTATAATTGTTCCCAACGTACCTTGTCTGTTCTCTACTTACCAATGCTGTCAATTTATATCTTCAACTCATTTCACTTTTAAACCAATAGACGATCCATTCATCGACCTATATTGTGTTTTCTTATCCATCCTATCCTACTCAGGACCTTTCTTCATATTATTAGCATGGGGATTGGGGCCTCGATGCTCATCACAAAAAATAGTAGCGAGAAAATCAAGAGGGCGGCCTTGGCTATGGATTGGCTTTGAGATCCTTAAATTTTTTTTCGACTTCTACATTAGTTATGAATCCGTCAGTCTCTTCTGCAATACCTATGTCTTTCGTCTTTCATGAAAATGTTCTCACATCGGTTAATCCTAGGCAGTCGGACGAATATTTTGTAAATAAGCAAACAATAACATGAAATCTATATACCTATCCGTGGTTTCTGAAGATCGATAAGTACACCAGCAATTCAAACAGCAGCTTAAATATTTTCTAGAAATTCTTCTATTAGTAAATACTTAATCAATTATATAGGTCACTGTAGGCCTGCAGATTTACTGCAGATAACATCGATGTACATATGTATATACAAATAAACATTAGACCTGCATGAGATTTGACGTTAAAAAATTATTCGTATATAAATTTCTTTCATGTTAAAAATGTGTATATATATCTAGAAAGTTTGAAAAGGTAAGTCAATTGTATTATAAAATAAATAAATAGACAAATTTTCATTCATTTTCGAAAGGAATGCAAAAGTAAAATATGTTCTTCAATAGTTAATTTGATAATAAAATATCAAAGAAATTAAACAATAAGAAGGGACCAGAAAAAATTAAAGAAAAAGTATCTATTCCTGGCACTTTTTTAAAAAAGTAATTGATTTCCATCATTCATTATTATCAACTCTTATCATATCAATTTGATTGCTGCTTAAAATTAATTCTTACGTTAAAACATTTAATCACCAACAAAGAACTATTATAAATACATTACATGTTAACAAATAGATTAAACAAATCCATAAAAACAAAGAAATAATTCGCAAAAGTTTAAAACTACTTGCTAATATTTCATAATTTTGTATTCCACAATTTGAATTTGTTGATTGAAAAAAAAACATTATGCAAATATGGTTGCATTTAATGTGGTTTTTAACTTAATAAAAGATGTATCATGTACATTTTTAAAAGAGTAAAGATATTTTTTAAATGAATAATTAATTTTTTTTTATTACCGTAAAGCATTATTATGTCGGCAGGTATAGTTGGAAAGATAAGAAGAAAACATGCACTTTCAATATTCCAAATCTGAACATTCTTTTTCAAACGATAGAATACAATTAAAATTAAGGCTTTCTAATACAAACTCATCGAAGAACTTATAATTTTTGTATTAATTGTAAATATACCAGTAATAATCCAGTGAAGAACAAAATGGTAACTTTTTCAAAAATTACGCCCAACTTATTCCGAAAACTGTTCGCAATTAACCTATGCTACTATAATATATTAAGATTTTCTCGCAAAATACTCTATTCCCGACTATCATTAAAGAACATATTCAAATAAAACGTAGTACGTAATTATAAAACCAAGAAAAGTGAACATGAAAATAAAAACAAAGATGTACGGTTACACAAAAATTGTTTTGCATTGAATTTAAATTTTGCATCGTAGATAAATATTTTAATGTACATTATAGATCATTATAACAAAAATTTTGTCATATCCACCAATAAAAATAAGAGAAAATAGTGATTTTCCTTGATCTTCTAAACAAAACAACATGACTATTCTGTACATTATCTCTTACATTATTTTTTCATACATGTAATGTAAAAAATTGTTCTATATCAAGATTAGAACAATTTTTTAATTATAGTATAAATCGTAATATTAACAGATCTGAGGTTTTCTTTTATGTACTTTAAAAGTAGCTCCTAAACAAAAATGGTCACTACCAACTGCAAAATTAGGTATTGTTGGCAAAGTGGAGCACTGTTTAACTAAGGGTAGTTTATAATTTTCAACAAGTTCCAGATCACTATAAAAAATATAATCAACTGTAACCCACTCGTCCTGATTGGTCGTAGCTTCTAGTTCTCCATGACGATTTCGATGTTTATATACACTGTTAAAACGGAACGGATGCGTTAAGGTGCCAGAACAAAACTTTACATGATAACCATGAGCGATCTCTATTGTTTGAAGATCTGTTGTATCCGCATTTACTTCGCAATGGTATGATGAAACATTTTCCTCTGCCATAAAATGTTCACTATTTTCCAGCTGTAACACATCGAATATATAATTAGAACAAAAACAAAAAACCGATTTTTATAGAAAAAAGATGTCTTGAAATATTGGAAAATGCTAAATACAATATAATAGGTGCATAGCATTAATGAAAACAAGCAGATTTAATAGGCAATGAAAAAAAAGTAAACAGATCATCGAATTTTGAATTTAATAAACAATAAAAGAAGAGAATTAAACAGTTTATCGAATTCTTTTTAAATGAAATAAATTACTTTTTAACCTCTGATACCAACTTCGATAGCTTCTTCTCTTTTCGTTTATTTTCTGTATTTGTTGAAGAAAAGTTAGAAAAGAGAAATACAGAAATAGAAGTGTTTGTACGAATCAATAATAACTTTATCAGAACATACATAATACATAGACGAAGATGTTAGTGATTTTCATTGTAACATTGCGGGGTGAATATTTGTGGTAATGAAGAGCCTAATATTTATTTGTTGTTAAAGAGACGTACCATCACTCTGTCTGTTCCTTCTCCACGTAATCTATGTTTTAAAACGTTAAAATGTTGACAGCTATCCGTAATACAGAGGCGAGGAGGGATTAGAGAATTCGATAGAGATCGATACTCCGTTTCTTCAAGGCTTTTGCTTTTCCCTTGATACTCAAATACACCCTCCGTAATAAATTCATATACTCCCGAGTCAGGTGTTAAGTTGAAATCACCTACCAGTATGATTGGAAGGTATTTGGCACCCATCCTGTTCATAAAGTAATAAAATTAAATATTTTACGATATGAACTACTTGTCTGAAATTAAATTCTATTCTTTGACTAATCCTTTTACAGTAAAACACAAATTAAAACACTCTCATCATATTTTTTAGAGAACGGGGAAAAACATCCGCCCACGCACCGCCCAGACAACCACAGGGAGGGCGGGATACCCGCCACAGCCCTGTAGCATGGATTGGAAAAACTGGCCGTTCCGAGGTACAGTCATATACATAATCGGTGGATTGCTCATGGCAGACCTACGTCACTCCCAGTTAAGGGACCACGCTACTCTCGACATTGGTCAATCAGCATTTCAAGCGCCGGGGGTTCCCTAAGCCCCTAGGCACACTTAGGTACCCCCAGCGGGAAATCAATATACAACAATAAAAATACATTATGGATAGTGCACCAGGAAGCATGGAACAATACCCAACCTCAGTTTTCGGTCAAATTAATAGCGAGACTACCACGCGCATAAGCAACTATAATTAAGTCCAGAGAAACTTTTGCTTTCCTTTCATATAGGCTGATTAGATTTATGAAGTGCACATCCATGCATACGCACATTTGGTTCTGCTTTGCTTTCCTGTTACAACGAAGTTTTCGTTTCAATAATTTCTTTGATAAATTAGTTATTATAAGATTCACGACTTTTAACCGATCAAGACTGTGAAAAAGTAATCCCTACTATGCCGCTCGACTATCTGTCTGCTTCTCTTTTCAAACTCATGTGTTGATTTACTTCTACTTTTCTAATCTACAATTACTAAGTCACCCATATAAAATTATCTCATTATCTAAAATCCATTATTTACGGAACACGAATTAATAACATTCAAATTTAATTAAATTAAATAACATTCAATTTAATTGGCGAAATGAATTAGGTTTCCAGCAAACTCGAATGATACCTAAGTGCAAAATATAAATTATAAGCTTGTATCGAATTGCAAGATATCCATTTTAGGTACGTTTTGCAAAAGTAAATAGACACAAGTTGGTGAACAGCAAAAATTACTGTAACTCAGACGGAAAGTAAAACCAGACACATATCCATATTTTATTTCTTTATAGTACTGAACTCATTCCTGATGTATTTACCATACATTCAATTATGGTAAATATATGCGCATAGTAACGTACGCAATGCAGTATTCTTATTAAAAGTATGAAAATCAATATGTTATACTTTAAATATAACTACGGATGAAAGATTTTGAGCATTCAAATTACCAATCATTCTAAAAACAATACACATATTTACAACCTTGCCATCAATTTTGACTCTTACCACATACACATTACAGGTGCACCAGCTTTCATTGCATACATATAAAGATAAAACTTTGTCGTCCTATTGCTGCCTGTCCCATCTTTATCTCTCTTTAAAACATTTATTTATCTTTTTCTATTTGCAGACTTCCATCTTGCAAAGAGATTGTTGTCATTTTTCTTAGACTTTTAGAAAATTTTGCGAAGAAAGAAGAAATAGCACAGTTGAACAATCAAAAATTATTAGTATTGTTGGACTATAATACATGTTCATGTTTCATCTTCTGTTATACAAGGTGTCCCAGGATTTTCCGGCCATATAGTACCAGTATGTTCTATGAAAAGAAATAAGAAATAACGTTATATAGATATAAGCTACTAAAAGCTCATTAAAAAGTAATAGCAAATACATGGAACAATCTAAATCACTAAAAATCATCAATGAAGCTATATTATTAATCACCTTAACCATGTCAATTACTACATCACTGTTACACTTCTAGATTTTGGCCATTTTTATGAAAACAAAAATTATTCAAAGATACAGTCCGTTATTTTTTCAGTATTCAGTATTTTTATACAGTCTTATATATTTAATAAATATTGTTTGCTGCCAGTGTCATTCTTGTCTTGTATCATAGTAATCGCAAATCTGTTACCGTTCCTTTCGTATTTCGTATTTTTGTTATAACTTTTTAGTAAAGCTTCAAATGATCTATACTTATATAACATTTTTTTTTCTTATTTATACCCATAGAACATACTAACAATGTTTGGCCGGAAAAACTGGGACATCCTGTACAGGGTGGCAAGATAAGGGTCTTGCTATGGAACTATAGTATTTTTTAAATATTGTTTATTAGAACGAATCATAAAAAAAACGCAAGTTAGAATTATACAGAAGTCGTGCAACGTCGCGATACTTTTAAACGTTCGAATTACAGTAAGTGTTGAAATTTCAATCTATTCTCTTGTAAACATAGCTATAAAGCAAATTTGCATTTATTGCTGCTATGATGCTCTCCCGACGAATTTCTTTACATGCTGTGCGGATTCTCTGCTTAAAATGTTCTATGTTTTGAATTAGAAAAGCATAGATTATGGTTTGTAAACGACTCCAAAGAAAAAAGTCTAATGGAGACGAATTGGGAAACGGAGGGACCAGGAAATAGGTCCATAAATACCCTACCAATGTTTTCGGAATTTCTGTTTAAATATTCACGAACAATCCGAGCGTTATGAGGTCAATACCCGTTTTGTTGGAAATAAATACGCTGCGCAACGTTATTTGGAAACAGTTATATTAACATTGGAAGTTCAGAACGAAGGAAATTTAAATAACATTCAGTCGTTAAATTTTATTCATAAATGTAAGGTCCAAATTGAAGGACCGTGTATTCGTCCGCACCAAACATTAATTGTAACCTTGATTTGAAAATTAGGCTGTTGTTCTAAATGACCCCAGTGGCTAATCGAGATGAAACTTGATGCGTATTATGAGGGGTGTGAATGGACCCCAAATATAAAATTTTAACTTTGGGAATTTACCCGTTTAGAAAATACATGTTTTAATATATAAGGCATTTTCTACGCTATTTGCTTGTTCACTAATTTAATTATGTACTTCGTGTACTTATTTACAATTTTAATGGACTCAGAATCAACATCGAATTGCTTCGCCTTAGTTAAGATCGGTTTATATGCTTTAACTATTGTAATGGACTGTTATTGTTTCGCGAAGTGTCTGCAAGCATCTAGCGTTAAAATTGTAATTGAGGGCGTTTAGAGTTCCCGAGACGTCTAGAATTAAACAAAGTCACATCGCGGACATATATATATATATATATATGTCTCAATATTCGCTACAAAAATATGCAATAAAAAATATAGGGTTCCATTTAAAAATTTAAACGTGACCTTCGCAGAACTCTCTAAGGTTATCTCAAGGTCAAACAATTATCGTAATATGCCCCTCTCGATACCATACAACTTCAATCTGAAACATTTTTTCATATTTCTGATACTTACAGAAATAATTACATATAGACACTTAAAACGGACATACTGTATACATACATATATGTACATATGTAACTCGCAGATTTTAGCAGATTTGTTAGGTTAGGTTAAGTTAGAACACGATTTAGGTTAGAACCTGTATCTTCCAAAACATGATTTAGGTTAGAACCTGTATCTTCCAAAACATGATTTAGGTTAGAACCTGTATCTTCCAAATAGGTGAATTCCCAAAGCTAAGATTTTATATTTGGAGTCCTTTCACATCCCTCATAACACCTACCAAGTTTCATCTCAATCGACTAATGGGGCCATTCGGAACAATGTCCAAAAATTGTTTTCGAAACCAGTGTGGACTATCTTTAGACCAAAAGTGACAATTATGTCGATTGATAACACCATTATCTGTAAATTTACAGTCATCTGTCCACAGAATTCGTACGCATCACTCAACTATGTGTACTACAAAATTTAGACGACGTAGTCCATCTGTTATGCGTAAATGTTACACTTTATTCATTTTATAAGGATGGTAATCATTCTTCTTCGTAATTCTATTAACAGAATGCGGGATAATCTAACAGCAAAAAATACTATAATTTCCTTTAAAAAACAAAAGCTAACATTCAGATCTCTGAAAAAAATGCTGATAAAAAAATTCTGATTTATGAAAATTATGCAGATTTAAATATAGTTCAACTTTTACCTAACACAATACTTTGTGAAGTTCAAGGAAAGTATTGAAATTTTGTGGCAACACTTGTGAGAGACTCTGTATATGAACATTTCATTAGTAAAATAAAATTCATAAGATCAAGTCCCTCTGAATTAATTATATTTTTCTTTTTATACAGTTCATTTCATTTATAACTATGACAAAATAAGTGAAAAGAGCAAAAAAATGTAACAATAAATAATGAAAAACGTGAGTAATAAACATGCATTTATTGTGCATTCATAATGCAGAAATTTTTTGTGTTTACAAAGCATATGTAAGAATTATCATCCATGCACTTTGATACCACAATTGTACTCTACCATCTTACAAAAGCACATTAAAATACAAGTGAGCCATTTCAAGACCTTTCCTTGTAAAAATTTGACAGTTATAGCTTTACATTACGATATTTTGTCACTTCAATTATTCAAAACCTTATGAAATACTGTTTGTTGCATAAAATTTGTTGAACTATGTGTAAAAAAAATTTTACTATATACTTCCAACTTATTTTTGCACATAGAATGATCTTCTTTCCTCTTAAACCATTTGTCACTCTCTCCACCATATATAAAGTGTTCCAACAAAAAAGTAATACAATTCCCCAACATATTTAATAATTCATCCTGATTAAAAATAATCATATATACTATGTATCTATATCTACTTGTTACTAACATATTGACACATCCCTTCAAGCAATACTTTTTTGTAAATCTCTAAGGCAAAAAGAATAGAATTTTTATAAT